AAATTTTGGTCAATGACATGAGACAAAGTATATGTGAACTGCTGTATGAAAAGTGAATTTACTCTGTAAATCTTCACCCAAATCAAAATAAAATTTAAAAAAAAAAAAAGAAAAGAAATAAAAGTTCCGAGCCATGCTACAACACGTACTAACCTCAAAAACCTTTGCTCAGTAAAATAAGACAATAAGAAAGGACAAATACTGTGTGATCTCATTTATATAAAAAGAACAGAACAGGCATACTAGTAGCTATCAGGGAGTAGGAAGGAGGGTAGAAGTAGGAGGTACTACTTATAGAATACTGAGTTTTGGTTTACAGTGATGGAAAAATTATGTTGAATAAGGGTAGGGTTGCACAGCCAGTTAATGTAATTGCTGTCAGTAAGCTGTACACATGTAAAAAGCTGAACTGGCAAAAATTGTGTGGGATTTAGCACCCTTGGTTTTGAGGTTTAGGGTCATGGTTTCATGGGACCTGCCAGTTAAGTGGCCCAGTAACATGTTTAGTGCTTCTGTTCTACCTTCTTGTTCATAATGTAGTACCTGGGGTCTTAAAAAGTTTCAAGTGGCTATTCAAGGCACAGCAATTTATCTCTACTCACGTAGAACAACAGAGGAAGGAGAGTTAGGAATAGGAGGAGGAAATGGAATATGTGGTTAATTGCCTCCATGAACAACTGCCTCCTTCTCCATGAGATAGAACTGGATGGTGCTCAGCTACCATTACTGATCATTTTGGTTAAAGATTCTATAGAAGAATCCTGACCAGAAGGGGGCAAATGCAGAACAGAATTTAAAATGGAAGCCAGACTTTCTGGAGTCATGGAGGCTGGATGAACCTCTGGAACTACTGCCCCAAAATAATCGTTAAACCATAAGCCAAAAATATCCCCTGAAGTCTTCTAAAAACCAAATAATAATTTAGCTTAACTAATTAAGAATGTCTGCCTTGAACATTATGCTTATCATTTAAAAGCAATCTCTATGGGATCAAATTAACAACAACTGTAAAGATTAGATAGGAACCTCAGAGAGCAGTGAGTTTATGTCAATGAGGGAAAGAACTACTCAGCAAAGGAGGGTGAAAATGGTTGCACAACTCAAAAAATGTAACCCATATCACTGAATTTGTATTTGTAGAAACTTGCATTAGTGTACGTTTTTGTGGCATATATTTCCAACAACCACTGGGAAAAAAACAAAGGTTCTTTCTGAAAGTCAGTAAAAATAGTCTAAAAGTGGACAAGTAGTAGTAATGAGGATGAAGTTGATACTGAATGAGTACATTTTATTTATCATTTTAAAAAATACCTGAGTACTTTATAAATATCACAGGCAAAGCTTTTTGAAGTTCTCTAAAGAGGTTAGGAAGATGGGAGTCCTTTGTAAATATTCATGGTTTGACTAAAAATTAAACATTCAATCAAATGTATACTCAAAAGAGTTCAATGTCACAAAAGTCAAAGGAAAGGAATTCTGAGAAGGAAGAAATGGTTGACAGTGTCAAATATTACTGAGTAGTCAAGGGAGATAAGAACCATGTACAGTAGACCTGGCAACCTGTTCATAAACAATCTTAAAATAGCTTTTTCAGTGTTAGAATTGGTATGGATGTGGGGGCAGTTTAGGAAGCTTGCTGGAGAAGCAAAAAGAAACGTAAGAGCTGTTTGGGCGAGGAAGCAGGTCAAGAAATAGAGAAATCTGAACATGTTTGTGACTGAGAAAAATCCTCTCAGTCTTATACCACACTGTTGCAAGGTTCATATATTTTATGTGAAGGAGTATAATATTAACAAAAGGTCAGCAGTTTGAACCCACCAGCTGCTCCACGGGAGAAAGATGCGGCAATCTGCTTCTGTAAAGATTTATAGCCTTCAGGCTTTGTCTCAACTACTTTGGACATGTTGTCAGAAGGGACCATTCTCTGTAGAAGGATATCATGCTTAGTGGAGTGGAAGGCCAATGAAAAAGGGGAAGACCCTCAATGAGATGGAATGACACAGTGGCTAGAATGATGGGCTCAGTTCTTGGGATGTGAGTCAGCAGCCTGCCCCTGACCTATAGATTTTGGGTTCATCAGCCCCTGTAACCATGTGAATCTGGAGAAGTATCCAGACTGCTGCCTGACCGATGGCTTGGGACTTGTCAGCCTACACATTTGCATGAGCCATTTCCTTGAAATAAATCTCTCTATATGTATTTATACATATATTTTACCATGCCAAACTTCTTTTCTATTTTCACCAACTGACTTACAAAGGCACTTGACTGCTAACCAGAAGGTCAATGGTTCAAACCCACCAGCTGCTCCGTGGAAGGAAGACTTGGCCATCTACTTCTATAAAGATTTACAGCCTCCAAAACCCAAATGGGGGTCTCGCCATGAGTCTGAATTGATGGCAGTGAGTTTGGTTTTTTTGTTTGTTTATTTACAAAATAGAATATTGTTATAATCTTTGGGGGGAAAATAAAAGAGAGATTTACAGCCTTGGAAACCCTATGGGGCAACTCTACCCTGACATGTAGAGTAGCACTGAGTTGGAACTGACTCAATGGCAATGAGTAGACTGTGGTAAGCTAAGAATGTACACAATAATCCTTACAGCAACCACTTAAAAAATTAGATATAGCTGAAAAATATAAATATGATCTTACACCTATCTTTAAAGTCTGCTTTCTAATTTGGGAAGAATTTTAACTTTCTTAACATGGCATTCTTGTAAATCCTGCATGATGGGCCCTGTCTGTCTCTGCTATAACCTGATAAAGGCCAAGTAAAAACAAATGAAGAGCTTTAAGAGGAGTGACCTTGATCAGACCAATATTGTAAAAAGATAACATTGGCAACAGTGTTAACCCAGAGCTGAAGAGAAGAAGACACCAAGGAGAATCAACAGGATAGTTACTGACAGACAATAGGAGATAAAGGGACTAAACAAGGGTAGTAGTGACGAGATAAAAATGACGGGGTTGATTTAAAGGAAATTTCAGAGTTAAAACACACATAACTTGGTTACCATTTGGGCTTGTGTTGGGTGAGTAATAATGGTGAAAAAGAAACCAAAGCAGCTCTTTGATATTTCAACAGATAGGGAACAGAGCAAAAAGCCTCCTGGAGGAAGATGATACATCTATCAGACAGGTGAAAATACAGCTATGGAGCTCAGGAGAAAAGTCATAGCTCGAGAAACTAGATTCACAAATCCCTGGCACATCATATGGGGTTGGCTGATACAAGCCAAGAAAATAAGAGAATCTAGATTTAAGGTATAATGAAAACTGTAACAACAAGGGAAAACAACCAACTGAAAAACAGGGAAAGACTAAGAAAGGCCAGTCTTCAGTTTTTAATAACCACTGATTGAGCACTTACTACATGCCAGGCATTGTTCCAAGCACTGATCATATATTACCTCATTTAATGTCACCTATATACTATATTATTATTCTCATTTTCCAGATGAGGAAATTGAAGCTGAGAGAAATTAAATAGTTCCCCTAAGGTTATACAGGAAGTAAATGGTGTAAGCCAGGGTTAGAAATTAGGTTCACTGACCCTTTTTCCATTTGTAAAATCAATCAATCATTTTTTTTTTAACTGTAGGTTGTGTGAAAGTTTACACAGCACATTAGTTTCCCATTCATTAATTTATATATGCTTTGTCTTGTGACATTAGCTGCAATCTCCTCAGTGTAACAATACCCTGCCAACTTCCTTCCTGGGGTTTCCATTTCTCCTTCTTTCCTGCCCCTTCCTGCCTTCTGAGCTTTGTTTTTGGGGTTCATTTACTCTTGAGACTGACTCTTAACTGCTACCTGATTAAGATGACAGTACTGTTACAAACTATTAATATTAGTACTACTATCAATACTACAGATGAGGATGATTAGTATTCACAATGTGTTAAACACTATGTTAAGCAATTCACATTCATTATCTCAAATAATTCCTAACAACCTGTAAGAGAGCTTGATTATTATAAAAAGAAGTAAGATTATCATTCCCAATTGCAGATAAGAAAAGGAAATTAAAGCTTAGAGAGGCTACATAATTCACCGAAGATCAGAGAGCTAAGAGGTAACAGTGCTGGAACTCAAATCTAAACTAGAAAGAGAAAGGCATCTTATATGAAAATAAAGTAAATTTTAAAGAATAAACTTTATGTAAACAAGTGGCTGAGAAAATATGCAAACAACTAAATTCAATCTAGGTATAAAAGCAGGTAAGGTTGATGGATAGAACCATAAAAAAGTACTATTTTTATAAAATACCTGACGTTTTAGAGAAATCAACTCCATGTCCAGTTGCCTCAGGATGGTGTTGGCTGCATTGGGACTACAGGAAACAGCTACTACATCTTCTTGGGTTAAATACATGCCCTTGGGTGGACGGCACTTAGAACGCTGAGAATGATGGCGATGCTGTAAACTCTGATACTCTCTCCTTCCTAGTCCAATCTTGCTAGTTTGGACAGGCTGTTCAGTACTACCCTAAGAGAATAAAGACAGAATAACAGGTTACTTGGATTTTTACAAACATATAAATTGAACATAGTCTATTACTAGAAATACCCCTGAAATACTTTTAACTAACTATATTAATGTACACGTTCAAACGTGCACACACACAGAACACTCACAAATGGCGGGGGGAGAGGGGAATGGGGGGAAGGGAGGTGGTGGTGGGGAGTGGTGAGCAGGAAGAGGAAACATTTGGTATCAAACACCAAACATAAAGTATCCTTGATTAATCCATGCAGTCAAATGATTGGTTTCTAGACCCAGAGGGTTATAAATAAATGAAAACAAATAAATTGAATCTAAACAATTACTGTTTGCTTCAAGATGAGATAAATTTTCCCTCAGCAATAAAGAGGGAGAAGTGGTATAACCTATTAAGGCAAAATTTTTAGAGAGTAAAAAGGGACAAATTACAAAAATGACCTATTCAAATTAGAGAACTGGCAAAAAGAGTAACATTTCATTCTCATTTTAGAGTTCTTGAAAGAGAACTGTGCCTCTAAAGGTAAAAAGCAACAGAGAATTATCTTAACCCTGACAACATTTCTAAACTCCAAATCTATTCTCTATGAAAAAAATAAAATGTGAATTTATACCTCAGAAGAGGTCAGGAAAGTCCTAATGATAAACATACGGTTTAAGCAGCATTTCATTACTTGTAATATTCCTTCTTTAAAAAATTACTTTTATTTTAATGTACCATTATATGCTCTGGTGGCATAGTATCTAAGGTATTTGACTGCTAATCAGAAAGGCTGGTGGTTCAATTCCACCAGCCATTCCTCGGAAGGAAGACTGGGCAATCTACTTCCGTAGTAATATCACCTCAGAAACCCCAAGGAGGGGTCGCTATGAGTCAGAATCAACTCGATGGCAGTGAGTTTGGTTTGGTTTTGGTTTATTATATGAGGGTTTTTTTGTTTTGCTTTTATAACTTTTATTGTAGTGAAATACATATAACAAAACATTTCAACCATTTTTATGTGTACAATTTAAGGACATTAACTATATTCATCACGTTGTGCAACAATAGCCACTATCCATTTCCAATTTATTTTAATCAATTTTTTTTAAATCACCCTTAACAAAAACTCTGTGCCCCTTAAGCAATAATCCTATCTTCCCCTCCCACCTGCTCCTAGTAACCATGAATGAACTTTGGTCTCTATGCTTTTACTTATTCTGGATATTTCATATAAATGGAATTATATAATATTTGTTCTTTTATGTCCGACTTATTTCACTCAGCATGTTTTCAAGGTTCATAGTATGCATCTGAACTTCATTTCTCTTTATTGCAAAAATACTTGTAATATTCTAAAAGAGCGATACAAAAATCAATGTTAATTTGTGCTTCTGAGATAAAAATACTCATTAGAAAACTTTGTCCATTAGGTTGAAGCCTATTTCATTGAATAGACTTAATAACCCAATTCTTTAGAAAAGGAGTATTGGAGCAAAATTCATAAAACTATATACTAAAGCATGATACACTTCATTGCATAAACCTAACTCAAAGGAACATGTTGTTGTTGTTGTTATGTGCCGTCGAGTCAAACCTGACTCATAGCGACCCCTCCTTGGGTTTCCGAGGCAGTATCACTACGGAAGTAGGATTGCCCAACCTTCCTTCCGAGGAGTGGCTGGTGGGTTTGAACCGCCAGCCGTCTGGTTAGCAGGCAAGTGTCTTAGCCACTATGCTACCAGAGCTCCCTCAAAGGAACATAGCAGACTGGATGTACCAAAATATCTCTGTAAGCCTAGCATTCTCAATAATGCTGGACCAGGTATTATTAAAAAAATCTTTTAAATTTTAATACTGAGTTGCCAGGAAGTGAGGAAATTCCTCAGATGCCAGAAATGATGAGAAAGCAGGGATCCAGAGGGATACGTCAGTAGGCAAGATCTGGCATTTGCCTAATGCCAGGATTCACTGGATAGCTATGTGCAGGGCACAACAGACAAATGCAGAACTCTGGAGAAGAACCCCATCATTGTGTGAAGTAGAAAAAACCACCTTGCCCTGCAGGAGAGGATTAAAGGGACTCATGCCTATCTTACTTTTGCTGGGTGGAAAGGAAAGAAATAAAAAAAAGTCTCCTCTGAAAATCCTAAACCACAGGCTTACATTCAGGCAGATTTAGGGATGAATTTAAATCATCTGTCTGGCCTGAAAAACCTCATGTCAAAAATTTAGTTGAAAGTGACTTAGGTTGGTTGTAGCTCCTCTCCAGATGAATACAGGTCTCATAAATTTTACACAAATAACATTCCCAGGAAAATGAGTTAGAAATTGCTAAACACATAAAGAAACCAGCCTCAGGAGTGAGAAATAGCAGAATTTTACCTACATAGATCATACATGTTAGAATTATTAGATAAAGAGAACAAAATAAATGTGTTATATGTATATAAAGAAATAAGAGAGAACTGAAAATAGGATTAAGGAAGAAAAGTCTATCAAAACTGATCAGGCAGAAATTCTAAAGAACCAAACAGAGTATCTCCAAAGAAAAAAATATTATAAGCCCTTTAGGAAGTTAAATGGATGTGTTAAGTAGCAGATTAGACAGAGGTCAAAAGAAAATCAGGAATTTGTGTTGTTAGGTGCTGTCGAGTTAGCTCTGACTCACAGCGACCCTGTGTACAACAGAACAAAATACTGCCTGGTCCTATGCCAGCCTCACAATCCTTGCTATACTTGAGCCCACCATTGCAGCCACTATGTCAGTGTATCTTGTTGAGGGTCTTCACCTTCTTCACTGACCTTCCACTTTATAAACATGATGTCCTTCTCCAGGGAAAGATCCCTTCTGACCTGACCAAAGTACGGAAACAATGTCTGGCCATTTTTGCTTCCCAGGAGCATTCAAGCTGTACTTCTCCCAGGACATATTTGTTAGTTCTTCTGGCAGTCCATGGTACTTTCAGTGTTCTCTGCCAACACAACTCAAAAGCATCAACTCTTCTTTGGTCTTCGTTATTCACTGTCCAGCTTTCACACGTATATGAGGCAATGGAAAATACCATGGCTTGGGTTAGGTGCACCTTAGTCTTCAAAGAGACATCTTTGCTCTTCAGCACTTCAAAGAGGTATTTTGCAGCTGATCTGCCAAGTGCAATACGGAATCTGATTTATTTTCCTCTTTTTTTTTTATTGGCATCTGATATACTGACTGCTATTTCCATGAGTATTGACTGTTGACCCAAATAAAATGAAATCTTTTGACAAAATTAGGAATTAGTGTGTGTGTATGTGTATATATATATATATATATATACACACACACACACACACATACACACACAGACACATACATATATATACTCACACATATACATGAGAAAAATGCCTGCAACTGAAAGTTAGAAAGCACCTACAATTGAAACCCTCTGTGATAAAACCTCTTAGCAAACTAAGAAGTGATAAGAGTAGAATGACAACTTTGTGAAAACTGAAATTAATATGTTTCTTTAGATGGAGAGACAAAAACATGAGTGTCTAAAAGACATGGAAAAGAGAAGTAGAAAGTCCAACGTATTTCTAAAAGGAGTTCCCAAAGGAAAGAATAGAGAGAAAGAGGGAGAAGCAATATTCCAAGAGTCAACAACTTAAAAGTTTACAGAACATAAGACCTAAGATTCAGGAATCAAAATGAATTCCAAGTAGGCATACATTAAAAAAAATACTAAACAGAAGAAAGATAGTCACATTATATCATATTAGACAAAATCATCTTTTAGGTAGAAGCCATTACAAGAGATGAAAGGGTCACTACATATTGATAAAATGTTCAATTCAGCAGCAAGATAAAATAATTATAAACTTGTAGGCACCCAGTAACAGTAGCTTCAAAATACAAAACAAGTATCACTTCTCAATTAATTGATCAGGTAAGCAGACAAATAATAACAAAATTCAAACTAGCAAGTAGGTAAGCAGCAAAAATACAGATTTCAAACACAAAATAGATAAGCTTAAATTAACAAATGCAGATAAAACTCTGTAACTAATAATTAGAATATGCATTTTCTCCAAGCACAAATGGAAAAACATTCACAAAATTCAATGTTCTAGGCTTGGAAGTTTAGAAACATGTCAGCAAATTCTTTAATACTCTTGCCATCAAGAAACGAGGCCAATATTCCCTGTCCTTGATTCTGGATCACTGAAGTGATATACTTAGAATGCAGTAGAAATGATGCTGAGTAACTGTCAAGGCTAGGTCAGAAATGGCTGTGTAGCTTCCATACGGTAGAACGGCTTTGAAAATGATCACTTTTGGGGAAAACAGCCACCATGGTAAGAAACCAGAATACTCAGAGGCCACCAAGCTGGGAAGGTCATATACAGCTGCCTCCAGTCTATAGCCCAGCTGAGCTCCCAGTTGACAGTTAACATCAACCAGTGGTCATATGAGGAAGTCATCTGGGTTTTCCAGGTCAATCAAGGGTTCAGATGACTGCAGCCTCAGCCACTATTTGACAGTGACTGCATGAGAGACCTCAGGTAGGAAGTGCCCAGCTGAGTGAGTCCTTTCCAGATTCTTGCCTCACAAAATTATTTTTACTTCTCCCCAGTTTACACATAGATTCATTGTAAAATCCTATCGGATTATCCCAGGAATCTAGTAAGCTTGAACAAAGGACCATCAAGTAGTAGGATCTTCCCTAGCAGCTATCAAGACTTATTACAAGGCTATAGTAATTAAAACATTGTGGAGGCTGGCAAGGGACATTTAACTGACAAAAGGAGGAGAAGAGTAAGCCATACATACACAAAAACCTCATATATGATAAAGCTGGTATTGCAGACCAGTCAAAAAGAACAGTTAGTTCCATATTAAAAAAAAAAAAAAAAGGGATCTTTATCTCACAAGACCCCACTCATTTGTCAGTTTGTCATACTGTGGTGTCATATGTGTTGGTGTGATGGTGAAAGCTATGCCACCGGTCTTCAAATACCAACA